GAACACATCAGCAGTGTTGGCCTCAGAGGCCACGTACGCAAGTCGCAACTGACCACGCTGCTGCAGCTCACGAGCAAGGAAGTAGCGGAGAGCAATGTGCTTCGTTCTGTGCTCCAAGCGCTGCTCTCGACACAAGGCCAGCATGGCCTTGTTGTCTACGTACAGCACTGGAGGAGAACGAGGCGGCTCTCCAAGGTCAGTCAGCAGGTAGGTGAGCCAGCGAAGCTCCTGTGCAGCCATGGCCCCGGCGTAGATCTCAGCCTCACAACTGGAGCCGAGAACCGAAGACGAGCGAGTAGACCGCCACGAGACAGAGCCGGAACCAAGGCTGAAGGTGTAACCCTGTGACGACCGCTGCGTAGCCTGGTCGTCAGCCCAAGAAGCGTCCGCGTGGCCGGTAAGGACCACTGGACTCCGCCCTCCAAGCACAAGCCCCATGCCCGACGTACTGCACAGGTAGCGCAATACCCTCTTCGCTGCAGCCATGTGCTCTGAACTGTGTCTCCCAGGAGCAACATAGCGTGCAAGAATGCTCAGAGGATATGCAAGGTCAGGTCGTGTGCAGGTCATCAGGTACATGAGGCAGCCAACAAGCTCTGCATACGGACCACTCGACTCTACGGACTCATCCGAAGGCAGAGCTGAGAGTGAGTGGCGAGTAGGCAGAGGAGTGGCCTGAGGCGAGGAGTACGTGAAGCCGAAGCGCTGAAGGACCTGCTGCACCATGTGTGACTGAGTCAAGGTAATGGTGGGGCGTGCTCTGTCCCGAGTGATCTGCAAGCCAAGGTAGCTGCGCAGTTCACCCAGGTCTGTGCACGTGTGTCTCTTCAGCAGCTCGGACTTCACGTAGGCGAGTCCAGCAGTGTCCGCTGTGGCAAAGACCAAGTCGTCGACGTACACGAGGATGTAGAACGGCGGCAGGGAAGTGTCGGTGCGAAGAAACAGCGACGGGTCAGCAGTAGAAGGAGCAAACCCAAGAGCCGCAAGCGTAGTCCTCAGTGTGTCGTGCCACTCATGCGGTGCCTGGCGGAGACCGTAGACTGGCCGTCGGAGGCTCCACTGGGTGCCAGGAGGGAAAGTCCCAGTGAAGCCAGGTGGACGGCGAAGCCAGATCTCCTCGTGTAGGCTACCCTGCAAGAACGCAGTGCTGAAGTCGAGAGAGTGAAGCTCGTAGTCGCGCTGAGCGGCTATGTGCAGCAGAACCCAAAGAGTAGTCATCTTTGGGGTGGGAGAGAAGGTCTGAAAGTAGTCAACTCCCTGCCGCTGACTGAAGCCACGAGCAACGTACCGTGCCTTGAAGAAAGGTGGAGAGCCCGGCGGCCGCTTCACCCTGAAGATCCACATGCCACTGACGATGTTCGCCCCAGGAGGGGGAACCGCGTCAACGTAGGTGTCTGTGGACTTCCAGGAAGCCATCTCTGCATCCATAGCTGCCTGCCACTGAGAGGAGTAGGGACCCTCTACGGCCTCCGCGTAAGAACGCGGAGTCGGGATGTCTAGTGCATCCGGGTCTCCCTCAGGGGCAAGCAGTACAGACGCGAGATGAGGTGAAGCAGCCGCTAGACACTGTAACTCCTCCTGCCTGTCCTCTAGGACGTCCGTGCCAAGAGCACACTCACCCCCGACGGACGGAGGACAGACAGACGCAGACTCAGCAACAAGACTAGCAGCGTAGTCGAGACGACAGCGAGCAGCAAAGTCGACGAGCTCAGCGACAAGGGCAGACGCAGCAGTGGACTCAAACGAGGGGTCAGTGACGACAGTAGCAAGGAGACGCGTGACAGTAGGACTGGCAGCACGAAGAGAGTCCGACTCAGGGTCGGCAAGCACAGGAAGAGAGGACTCAGGAGGAGAAGGCAAAGGGGCACGCAGAGGAGCAGTGGACGGACGCAAAGACATCCGGTGCGTGCCAGGGACAGGAGGAGGACGCTGACGCGAACTGCGACCACTAGCGCGAGCAGCACGAACAGGCAACGCGGGACGAGACGCAGGCTCACGACGCTCAGCAAGACCTCCAGTAGGACCAGTGTAAGGAGAGGGAGCAGGCAGTGGAGAGGAAAGCTCCAGCAGGGACTGCGACTGGACAGGCGGTGGACCCTCTACTAGAGGAGAAAGACCAAGAACCTGCTGCAGGAGTGGAACGAAGTACGGCCGAGGCCGCGCGGCAGCTCGAGACTCAGCAGGGACAACACCACCACCCCCAGCGACAGCACCAGCGCCACCCACACCTCCAGCGGCAGGACCAACAGCAGTAGGCTCAGCACCAACGCCCTCAGCAGCTCTTGCTCCAGGAGGACCCGCAGGTCCAGCCGCTCCGGGACCGGCAGCACCCGCACCCTCGACGGTCGAAGAAGCTCCAGCTCCAGCTCGAGCAGCACTTCCAGACGCAGCAGCACGCCTCCAGCGGCGAGCGAACCACTCGCGCAGCTCCTGTGGAGAGAGGGGCTCCCGGCGAGACGCAGCAGCAGGAGAAACCCCAGGCTCAGCAGCTCCAGACGCAGCACCCCCAGGCTCAGCAGCTCCCAGCACAGCACCCCCAGGCTCAGCAGCTCCCGACCCAGCACTCCCAGACCCTGCACCTCCAGGCACAGCACCCCTCGGCTCAGCACCCCCAGGCTCCGCACCCTCCGCAGTAGCACCCTCAGGCCCAGCACCCCCAGCAGTAGCACCCCCAGGCTCAGCACCCCCGCGCACAGCACCCCCAGAGTCAGCACCCCCAGGCTCAGCACCCGCAGCAGTACCAGAGTCACCAGTAACCTCGAACGGGTCAACGGCGTCTACCTGGGACACACCTGAGGGGGCAGGAACCTGAGGGGGGAGGGGGTCTACCGGGGGGGGGAACCGGCACAAGGAAGTCCGGGGGAGGGGGGAGGGAAGGAGTGCGGTAGGGGAAGAGACGGTAGAAGGGGACTGACTCGTCGAACGTGACGTCCTGGGAGGACAGAACACGACGAGAGGAGGGGTGGTAAAACTGCCACCCTGGGGCGTCAGTGGGGAAGCCAAGGAAGACACAGGGAGCAGCACGAGGGGACACCTTGTCCGCAGACAAGTCGCGGACAAACGCCCGAGATCCCCAGACACGGAACACAGACGCATCGCCAACCTTCCCCGTCCACAGCAAGGCTGGGGACATCGCAGGCCGAGAGACCCGGGGGTGAAGGTTGAGCTGATGCGCCGCGTACCTCACCGCAAACGGCCACAGAAAATGGGGGGCAGCTGCATGCATCATGGACGTACGAGCGACATCCATGACCATGCCAATGCGGCGCTCAGCAATCCCATTTTGCTGTGGTGAGTCCGGAAGCGTGAAGGTCTGGCGGATCCCCCGTGCACGACAGTAGTCTCGCAGAAGGCGAGAAGAGAACTCTCCGCCTCTGTCAGAGTGCAGACGCAGAACAGGAAAGTCCGAGCCGAAGTTCTTCCTCTGGTAAATCTGACACTCCACTGTTTGTACGTTCACTGTCATATGTTCTAACAAGATAAGCTTATTCTTCACATTCCATGTTCATGTGGCTGATCGTAAGTGTGATTTCCATGATCCGCTGTTTTTGTAGTGACGCGTAGAGCTGGTTAATCAAGCTGCAATTATTTACTGATGACGTATTGTCATGTTTATATTTTTTGTATGCAAATATTTGGTTGTACATGTGTATTTGATATACGAATAAAGCCAAAATGAGTTAACGAACTGCATGTCCAGTACAACGAATCACGAAACGCCTAGTCTCGAGCCGCTCTCAAACGGAATTGGTCCGTGATGCGTCCCCAATGTATGCCGAATGTGTCCCAGAAATGTCCCTCAATAGTCTTTGGGGCACGTGTGAAAAAATATTTCAGGCCAAATTTGGGTCTCCCGAAACTGTACCATAGTTGTTCCCGAAAGACTTTTTGGGGACGGGGGTGAAATCTGTCCCCAAAGTCTCCTGCGGGATGGATTTGGGAGTTGGGATATTTTAGATGACCTCTGAACTCCTGTCTAAAATCCCTTTCTCCTACTCATGGGAGCACCGAATCAATGACCTGGCTACACGGCTATCTCTCAGCAACAGCAGAACCACAGCGCATGCCAACAGGGCTGTTACCAGCAGGTGATTGCGGGCCCTGCCTCTTCTTGGTCTGCTCCTCTGCACCGGCTCAACCCTTCTACTTCTTCTTCCATCGCTGCATCCTCCTCTGGTGCCCCTCAGCCTCTTCAATTTCAAACTCCAGCAACCCTTCCAAGACACACCGCCGCTGCTGCTGCTCCTCCAACTCCTGCCATTGCCGTTTCTGCTGCTGCTGGTACTAGTTTTACTCCAGGCGGTGCTGCTGGGTCTTCTGAGCTAGGTGACAGAGCAGCAGGTCACTGGATTTGGCATGAGGATACGCATAAAATGGCTGATCTTCACAGGTCCCTCCTTGGAAATCAAGTCAACGCCACTGCAGGAGCAGCTGCTACTAGACCTTCTCCCAATGCTGCTCCTGTTTTTGCTTCTAGTGGTTCTGCTATGGCTCCTGCTCCTTCTGCTACTTATGCAGCTGTAGTACCCTCATACTCTGTTGTAGCACCCCCGATGGCAGCGCAGCAGGGGAAAAGGCACAAAGGGCAGCACGCAGTGAACTTAGGGCAGGACCAGCAACGCCAGCAGCAGCAGCAGCAACAACAACAACAACAACAACAACAACAACAACAACAACAACAAATACAGCTGCAGCAGCATCAGAAGTACCCGCAGCAGCATGGCCATTACCACCAGCATCACATGCTTCAGCAGCACATGCCTTAGCAGCAAGGACTCAGTCCTGCCATCGCTCTATCGCCTTAGCAGCAGGAATCGTGTTCTGATCCTTCATGGCAGAGAAGCATTTCCTGTCCGCCTGTCTCCCTACTGCTGCAGGCTCCCATTCAAGGCGTCAACCAGTTTGAAGCATTTTTCCGTGCCTCACACAACCTACAGTATAGCCATCTACAGTCATGGCAAGGTGTGTTGGGTGGGCAGGGAGGGCAAGGTAGATCGCACATGGGAAATCCTAGTGATCATCTGCTGCATAACAGTGTGTGGGAGAGCAGTGGGACGGAGGTGGCTGAAGGGGAAATGAAAAGAGAGGTGATGGGGGGAGGGGACATCGAGGATGGTGGCTTGGCGGCAGTCGTTCCCCACACCAGAATGCATGCAGGAGCACAGGGCACTGAAATGGTGCATAGACAAACCAACCTGCCAGGAGGGGTGGGAACGAGAGCTGCAGGGGTAGCATCCACTGGTTCAGGTGTGGCAGCAACTGTAATGGGAGTTGCAGAAGCAGGTGCAGAAATCACCAGTGCAGGGGTGGCAGCAGCAGGGGAAGGATTTGCAGGGGTAGCTGCATCCTTACATGGGTTGGAGCTAGCAGATCTCGAGGCGCTTCTACTGAACATGGAGGGCGAATTGGGCATGTTCAGCAGCATGGTCAACGGGTTCAACCAGCATCCACATAGCAGCATGGTCAGTGGGTTCAGTTCGCATCCAAATAGCAGCATTTCTGCCAACCCTTAGCCCATTCCTAGTGGCATGCCCATCAGTCAACCACCAGTGCAACTGCAACCATCCGTGGAACTGCCAGCATCTGTGAAAATGGCACCATCAATGGGTCCACCAATGGCACCATCAATGGGTCCATCAATGGCACCATCAATGGGTCCATCAATGGCCCCATCAATGGGTCCATCAATGGCACCATCAATGGGCCCATCAATGGGTCCATCAATGGGTCCATCAATGGCACCATCAATGGCACCATCAATGGCACCATCAATGGCACCATCAATGGCACCATCAATGGCACCATCAATGGCACCATCAATGGCACCATCAATTGCACCATCAATTGCACCATCAATGGGCCCATCAATGGCACCATCAATGGGTCCATCAATGGCACCATCAATGAGTCCATCAATGGCACCATTAATGGGTCCATCAATGGCACCATCAATGGGTCCATCAATGGGTCCATAATGGGTCCATCAATGGCGCCATCAATGGCACCATCAATGGCACCATCAATGGCACCATCAATGGCACCATCAATTGCACCATCAATTGCACCATCAATGGGCCCATGAATGGCACGAGAGTCTTCGTTGGTCGCGCCGATGCACGATACGTCTGGAGGCTCATTTGCATCAGAAGAAGTGGTTGCTGCGGACATGGCCTCGTATCCCACTGCCCATAAACATTGGCAGTGGTGACTTCATGTGACCTAAGGGGGGAGGCGCTCTGTTACTGCCAAATTCATTCTTTCCATCACCAGCAGTAGTACTGACGTCGGATCAAACATGGGCAGTTGGAGCAGCAGAATCAGGAGAAGCATCAACAGAAGCAGCTTTAGCAGGTTCAACCGCAGCAGCAACAGCAAGAGAAGTAGTAGCATCTGCACGTGCAGAAGCAGCCACTACGAGCATGATTGATAATGTTTCAGGGGAGCCACAAAGTGGGAATAGTGCCAGTCGGGGCACTGGAAGGATGCTCTCTCCCAAAAGAAGTCGCGAAGAGGACTGCTGATTCGTTTCTTTTTGTTTTCCCCCCTTTTTTTCAGTGTTTGTTTCACGGGTGGATATTTTTCAGTGGGAGCTGCCAGTGTGCATATGATGGTGACACCTGACTCAGGTTTAATGGATAGCGTCGACATATGATGTTAGGAGTAGTGTCCTTCATATTTGCAAAAAGCAGCTCCCTTAACCCTAAGAAACCCAAAAGAAGCCATGGGAGTAGATGAAAAGAACCAAACAAAAAAACCTACTAAGGACGCACTTAACATTCCATTCATTTCTAACAGTAAAAACTACATTCAAGCTGTTAGTTTTCCTATGCTCGTCACGACCCCATTCATTGCATTCCCTTGCACACGTATGTGACACAAATATTTCAGTTATGTGGAAAGGCCTCTCCATATGGAGAGCCAAGAGAGCCTACGCAAAGGATGAACTACCGTTATATAGAGAATATATGCACATGCCTATGATTTGCGCATTTGGCGGTCAGGGGTTTATTGCACCAATGACAAGATCTACAGTTTGGTGTATTAATAATATGCCATTACGTTTTGCCCATAATGTTGTTAGATTATAGCCAAAGCAGTGATTTTTTCATTCTTGTTATAAGGGAACCTGGTTCCATATCTGGGGAATGATGGAACACAAGTTTTAGCACTTAAGGGAGATGGAAGAAAAACAACCCTATCTTCAGATGTCAACTCTAATTGTTTCTCCTTGGCTAGAGATGCCACCACCACTCTATGTACACAACAGCCCTCAGATAGACAAAGAATCATGAAACACATGCTCTTAGGAAGACCCAGCAGTCCTCTTCACGAATCCTTTTGGGGGATAGCATCATCCTTTCACTGCCCTCGCCGCTGCACAATCCCAGATTTCCCCATTGTAATTCCCTCGACACATTGAAAATCATGCCTGCAGCAGCTGCCTCTGTATCCCCTGCTGCTACCGCTCCGACCGATTTGTCTCTTGCTTCTGCTGCATTTTCTGCCCATGTCTGAGCCACTGACACACTCCCCGGAGCTGGGAAAAATGATCCAGGCTGCAACAGAATGCCTTGGCCCTTTGACCGCATGCCCTCACTGCTACTGGTGGTGTTGGCAGTATGATAAGCAGTCATTACCGCATCAAGCCCGTCCTCTGGTGCAAATGAGCCTTCAGACCCACCATGCATTGTCGTAAATAGGGAAGGTCCCAGTGCTATGAATGGTGCCAGTTCCTTAGGCGGTTGGCTGATGGGAATACCACTGCTAGTGGGTTGGATGACGCCCACGGTGTTGCTATTGGGAAGCTGCTTGATAACCCTCACCATGCTGCTGCTGATCATGCCCAATTCCCCCTCCCCATTCAGCAAAAGGGCCTCCATATTTGGTAGCTCCTCCAGCCCATCGAGTGATGTCAGCAGGTCCACTCCTTCTCTGGCTGCTGCAGCTACCCCTGCTGCTGCAACTCCATTCCCTACTGCCATCACACCTGCACCAGTTGGTTTTGCCCCAGTTAATGTAACTTTCAAAGGAGCAGCTGCCATCCCTGAACTAGCTGTTGCTACCCTTGCTGCTGCTACCCCTGCTGCTGCTACCCCTGCTTCTGCTACCCTTGCTGCTGCTACCCCTGCTGTTGCTACCCCTGCTGTTGCTACCCCTGCTGTTGCCACCCCTGCTTTTGCTACCCCTGCTGTTGTTACCCCTGCTGTTGCTACCCTTGCTGTTGCTACCCCTGCTGCTGCTATCCCTCCTGAAAATTTCACTTGTTTGTGATCCATTTCAGAGCCCTATGCTCCTTCACACCCCCTGGTGGGTCGGAAAATCTTCTCCAAGCCACCGACCCTGCCATCCCCTCCTCCTCCTTTCCCCTCTCCTTCCTCCCCCCTTACAGCAACATCTAGCCCACCGTTCTCCCACACATTGGTATACAGCAGAGAATCACATGAGTCTCCCACACATAACCTCCCTTGCCCTTCCTGTCCATCCAACGCCCCTTGCAACAACTTAGGGTGGTCATACTCTGGGCCGTGGGAGGCACGACGGGGTGTTTCAAGCTGGTTAACGTCTTGACTGGGGGTGTGAAGTGGTAGAGGGGCAGCAGGGCACGACACGCTTCTCTGGCACAGGGGAGCAGGACTGAGTCTCTGCTGCTGAGGTAGGTCCTGCTGAAGCATCTGATGCTAGTGGTATTGGCCATGCTGCTGCTGCTGCTGGCACTGCTGAACCTGGTACTCAAATTTCACTGTGTGCTGTGCTTTGTGCCTTTTCCCCTGCTGGGCTCATGTCGAGGGTGATACTGCCACATATGGGGATGCCACAACCGGATATAGGGGTACTTCAGCTACGTATGGGGTTGCTACAACAGGAGCGACAGTGAGACAAGTCCTGGTTGCAGCATCTGCGGAAGTGGTGACCTGACCTCCTAAGAGATACTTGAGAAGATCCGCCAGTAGCTGCATATCCTTCTGACGGATCCCTTCACCTGCTGCTCTGTTGCCCACCTCATCTGAGCCAGCACTACCAGTTGGGTGCTCCTCCCCTGTGCACATACCGACTTGTAGCGTCAGCCATACTCAGACAGGCTCCACCTTTGGTTCAACCTCAATGTGAGCATCGCTGGTGCCCATTGCATCAGGAGTCACATCCCTGCTGCGGTTGTGGAGTCCAGTAACGCTTCTCTGCCATGGCAGACCAGAACGAAGTTCTTGCTGCTGAAGCATCTGATGCTGGTGGTATTGGCCATGATGCTGCTGCTGCTGCTACTGCTGCTGCACCAGCCCTTGCTGCACTGCTGCATGGCTGATTCGCTGCTGGTAGAGCAATAGCCCTTGCTGCACCAAACCTTGCTGCAGTGCTGCGCTGCTGCTTTGTTGCTGCTAGGGCAATAACCCTTGCCGCACTGCTCCTTTACTGTGTTGCTTCTCCTGGAGAAATAACCCTAGATGCACTAGCTGGCTGTCGCTGCCAGCACTGGGTAGGATAAATGGGGCAGGAGAGAGGCCAGAGTGCGAGTTGAATGGATAGGGGAGAGGGGAGGCGAGACCTAGATGTGCAGAGAGGTTACCAGCTCCCCTTGCTGCTCCCACGGCTGCTCCCACTGCTCCTTCTGTTCCCGCTACCTCCATCACTACTGGTGGTTCTGCGGCTCCTGCTGCTTCTCCTGTTGCCGCTACCACCGGAGCTATTGCTGCCTTTTCCTCCTCCGCCGACGTTTGAGTCGACCCTAGAATCACCGCTGTTGCTCGGCTCGCTGCACTGCTGCGCGGCATATCTAGAGGCATCTCGCACGAGGAGTTCAGCAAGTGACTGACTAACTGGTGTCCTTTTGAGTTGTCTGAGGGTGAATCACCCCTGAAAGTCACGCCATGCACATTAACACCTTCAGGGAACTCATCGGCTGGTCCCAGGCCTCCCTTCCTATATGTAGTTCCACCAGCCAGTAGTGAAGGTACCGCTAGCACCAGCCAGTAGCTCCCAGGCCCCCCAGTGTCACCTGGATGCTGCTCTGCTCCGCTCCTTTTTTGCATTAAGAGCCACGGATTCACACCCAGTAGAGGCAGCCCTCCCTGCTGCTGTGCTGCCATCCCCTGCTGTGCTGCCATCCCTTGCTGTGCTGCCATCCCCTGATGTGCTGCCATCCCCTGCTGTGCTGCCATCCCCTGCTGTGCTACCATCCCCTGCTGTGCAGCCATCCTTTGCTGCGCTGCCATCCCTTGCTGTGCTGCCATCCTCTGCTGTGCTGCCATCCCCTGCTGTGCCACCATCGCTTGCTCCTCAGCTTTCAGGGAGCTTCGCAGTACCCGCACAACCACCCACAACGCTGCGTCGATCCTTTGACCAATGCCAGCTTGAAGCTCTGGGATGTTGCCTTCGGGGCTGCTGCTGCTGCTGCTGCCGGCCAAACCACCAGCTGCACCAACCGTATCTCTGGTGTCTGGGTTGGTCGTTGAATCTGTTTTTCGAGAATTTTCAAAAAACAGATGAAGCTCTGGGCTGTTGGCTTCGGGGCTGCTGGTGCTGCTGGCCAAACCACCAGCTGCACTACCCGTACCCCTGGTGTATGGGTTGGTCGCTTCACCTTTTCTGCTGCTGTTTTTGTCTTAATCAGCACCACTTGCTGCATCAACACCAGCTGTGATGCTTTCATGCGTAGCAGGTGCGTATGCAGCAGCTGCTTCTGGATCCGATCTGGCTGATACAGTTACAGCAGGTGCCTTGTCTGTGGCAGCTGGTCCAGCTTCAGGCGCATCCTCTGTCAGCCGGTACTCGTGCAGAACTACCGGGCCCAAATCGTTTCTGAACTTTGAGAGAGCTTGCAAGCTAAAATTCGAGCCAGTATAGCTGCAGCCGGTTCGGTGGCAGCAAGTGTGAATACTGCTGCACCCTCAGATGGAAATCAGCGCGCTAGATCCAGTATGCCAGATCTCTTCACGCCAGGAAAGTTTCAGCCAGTCGTGAATCGATGGCTATTCCTTGTCGAGCAGTACTTGCTGTTGAGCCACGTTGCACCTGCTGAGTGGGCATCATTCACAGGAACCTTCTTCGAGGTTCTGCGATCACTTGGTGGCAATCCATCCACAACTC